GGAATCATTTTTTAAGTCGTATAAACTTTTTCTTGTCTGTAACCCAAATTCACACTAAAGAAGGATTAGGCAACCTGGTCCATTCCAGGGTTAGGGCTGAAGCTGAGGACATGGTATAACTGCAAAACTGCTGTTTTCTCATTATAGTAGGCATCCTAGTAGCAAGTAAAGGGTGGTTATAAAAATCTTATTGCACTAAGTGGTCCACTAGGTAGTCCATCCTAAAATATCTGAGCTCATCTTGGCTAGCATGGGCCCTTGCCAAGTAGCCTTCCAGTCAAGAAGTATTGTGGAGGTGGCTGTGGAGAAGAGCCATTTTCACCACACCTTAAAGCAGGGGTGGGCAAAATGCGGCCCGCCAGGCCATTCTATCCAGCCCGCAGGTCCCCTAAAAAAATTAATATTTATCTGCCCCTGGCTGCCTGTCATGCGGCCCTTGATGGCTTGCCAAAACTCAGTAAGCAGCCCTCCATCCAAAATAATTGCCTGCCCCTACCTTAAAGGGCTGTAGTGGACAATTGTCCTTTAAATGAACACCCTGTTAAGTAGTAGAGTATGGAAAAGGTTACATGTTGATAAAGGAAATATAGGTTGGATCAATAGACCATAAGGTGGATAGAAAACTGGCTGGATCATTGGGCTCAAAGGGTAGTAATCAATGGCTCAGTGTCTATTTGGCAGACAGTATCAAGTGGAGTGCACCTAGGGTTGGTCCTGGGATTGGTTTTGTTCAATATCTTTATCAATAACCTGGAAGATGGGATGGAGTGCACCCTCAGCAAGTTTGCAGATGACACCAAGCTGGATAGAGTAGTAAATATCCTGGAGGGTAGAACTAGGATTCAGAGAGACCTTGACAAATTGGAGGATTTGGACCAAAAGAAATCTCATGAAGTTCATTCAAGACAAGTGCAAAGTCCTGCACTTAGGACGGAACAATCCCATGCACTAGTACAGACTGGGAACCGACTGGCTAAGCAGCAGTTCTCCAGAAAAGGACCTCAGGGTTACAGAGAACAAGAAGCTAAATATGAGCCCAACAGTGCTCTTGTTGCAAAGAAGACTAACGGCATAGTCAACTGCATTAGTAGGAGCATTGTCAAAAGATTGAGAGAAGTAATTATTCCTTTCCATTCATCACTGGTGAGGCCACATCTGGAGTATCATGCCCAATTTTGGGCCCCCCACTACAGAAAAGATGTAGACAAATTAGAGAGAGTCCAGCAGATAGCAACGGACATGGTTAGGGGGCTGGGGCACATGACTTCTGAGGAGAGGCTGAGGGAATTGAGCTTCCTTAGTCTGGAGAAGAGAAGACTGAGGGGCTGTTTAATAGCAACCATCAGCTATCTGAAGGGTGGTTCCAAAGAGGATGGAGCTAGACTGTTTTCAGTGGTGGCAGATGACAGAACAAGGAGTAATGGTTTCAGGTTGCAGCAAGGGAAGGTTTGGGTTAGATTAGGTTAGTTTAGGTTAACTTTCTCACTAGGAGGGTAGTGAAGCACTGAAACAAGCTACTCAGAGAGGTTGTAGAGCAGGGGTCAGCAACCCCTGGCATATGTAGCACGCAAGGCCATTTTGCTTGGCATGCCACAGCACAGCTGTTTGGAGCTTCCCAGCTGCAGCCGGCCGAAATTCCGGGTAGCTGCTGCCAGTAACAGAGCCTGGGTTGCTCCCAGCAGGGCTTGCAGCATCCCAGTTTCTGGCCAAAAAACATTGCCTACCCCTGTTGCAGAGTTTCCATCCTTGGAGGTGTTTAAGACCCAGCTAGACAAAGTGTTGGCTGGGATGATGTAATTATGGATGGTTCTGCTTAGAGCTGGGTGGGTTGGACTAGATGACCTTGTGAGGTTCCTTTCAACCCTAATTTTCTATGATTCAGCACATACTTTCAGCAAGCACTTGGTGAGAAGGTTAGCGGTAGTAAAATTATCTTCCTGAGGATAAAATCTTTCCGGGGCATAAAGGCTCATGCCGGCACTTAGAAGTGTTATTTTCAGCTAGCAGTTTTAATTATTCGTGCCATTTACACAAAAGATATGATGTATGATATCATATGATATACCAGCATAGCCTATATCTATACCATACTTGTCTTAAAAAGGAAATACAGGGCAAGATTCTTGGCTGAATTTAAACTCTTGTCATGTACATAAAGGTGGGAACTAGTTATGGCTCTAAAATCCTGAGTCACCTGGCTCCTATATGATTGATAGTAGGACCCTTATAAGTCTTTATGCCAGTATTTATTGCATATTATTATTTATTGGTTGCTCCTGCCTCACCCCTGACCCCTTCCCTTTTTCTACTATATGTGTTGGGGTGTTTTTAAGCCTCCCCAGGGGCATTGGTTGTTGGTACTACTAAGGCTGAGGACTTAAATGGTGTGTGCCAATTCTGCTGGGAGCAAAGCCTGAGGTTCCTGGCTAAAGAGTCTTGCCCCTCAGCTCAGGGTCAGACTGATTGCCATATTTGAGGTCAGGAAGGAATTTTACCCCGTGTTCGGATTGTTATGGACTGTGGGGGGTTTTGTCTTCCTCTGTAGAAAGGGTTGTGGCCCTCCACCCAGGACCTCTTAAGCATATATCTGCAACATTTTATAGAATCAGGACATTGGCTGCCATGTACCTGGCCAGATATTCCCACCCTTGTCCATTCACTGTGTTTGCATGGGGCAGAGGGATCCCATGCTGACTCAGGCTGACTGGGCCAGAATGGCATAAATCCAATTAACGAGGCATATAATGGATTATTTTCCACCCGGAGGCAGGATGCTGGGATAGACATGCCAGAGATTTGTGCATAGCAGGAAGTTTCCTGTTCTGTGCCCAGTGGAAGAGATGTCAGTGGAAAGCCAGGCAGAGTTTGTAAACTGCTGCTACATCCCTACCAATACTGCATTTGGATGCAGCAGTGGGAAGAAAACACAGCAGCACCTGCTGTTTGCAGTAGTCGTAATGACATTAAACTTCCCCTGCTCCCCCTACACTTTCAGAGCACTTGCTGAACCGTCCTTGTATCCCAAGATCAATCCTGCTGTCCCCAAT